CAAATATCAAAATTTAAAATTTAAAATTTCAGTTTTCAAAATATTTTATTTCTGTCCAAATTTTGACCAATTTTTATTTATTTTATATATAACTATAATATTCATATTAATAATGATCATGTGTATATCTTGTGATGTTCTTTATATAATTTAATAATTTTCTTTACTTGAAAACATGATGTACTTTATAGTTGTTTGTAATGTACAAAAAATTACTCCCTCCGTTTTTATTAATCGCAACACTAGGGTATTCACAAAAGTTTAAGAAAATTTATAGGGTGGGGCCCAAAATAGGATTTTTTATTTTTTTATTTTTTTATAATAAGTATTGTTGGTAGAAGAGAGAAATAATAAAAAAAAAGTAGTATAAGTGGGGTTGGTAGGAAGAGAAATAATAAAATATTTGTGAAAGTGGGGTTAGTGGGAGATAAATTATAAAATAATGGTGGGTCCTTTCCAAATATAGAAGTGTTGCAATTAATATGAAACAAATGTAAAAGGAAATTGTTGCGATTAATATGAAACGGAGGGAGCATTAACACTATTCCATATATCTATTATTATTATATCATTTAATGATTTTTATTAGATCTCTTGATAAACTATTTTAAAATGTCCATATTCTTTGATTGTAATTGTAATGTAATGTACTTCTGTCAAAAAAAATAAAAAATAAAAATTGTAATGTACTTTTATAGTCACATAGTGTTAATTACTTATTATGAAATGTTTTTTCGAATTTGGTCTTTGGATCATGCTAGGTAGATATAAACAATGTTCATTACATAATATTATCATGTTCTTTATCAGTATTACTAACGTTCTTTAAATTTGAAAATCAATCATCAATAGAGGAAGTCCTAAAAGAATATCGCCATCATCAACCTTCATAATAATCATGTTTTTAATAAAAAAAGATATATACACAATTCGATGATAATTCATATACAAAAAAATATAGAATTAATAAATGATATTGAAGATTAAGGGTCAAATTAAAAAAAATAAAAAATAAAAAATTAAGAGATGAATCGAAATAATGTAGACACTAAAACACATACAAGCTCAACAATAAGAACAATAATTTTAAAGAACATAAGGGATAAAAGAAAATAACACAATAATAAAACAAATATAATACCCAAATGAAGATAAAGGAACGAACAAACAAACATGAAAGAACATACTTTATATTATTGAAACCCAAAGAACATATTTAATCTACATACATTGAACATAGTTTATAATGTAAAGAACATATAGTTCATATTCAAAGAACATAATGATCAAACACAAAGAACATATTATGCTCGCGTTCTTTGTAAATTTATATAATGTTCTTTTTTTGCCCATGTTCTTTATACATACGTGTAATATTCTTTCCGGGTGCACCATGCGCGTGTTGCACCCGGGTGTACTATAGAAATTTCATATCATGAGATTCGTTGTTGCGTGGTTTGTAGACATACCTTTTATTGCTTAAATAAATTTGCAATGGTTCATATATGAGAGGGGTTTTAAATTAATTAGTAAGTGGTTTGTTCTGAATAATTAAGGTGACAACTAGGTGGGATAAATTGATTTTAAAAAAAGAAAAAGATAAAAAAAAATAGTAAAAAGCTTATTGTTTAATATAATTGATATTGTATTGGGTCCCATACATAAACATTGTAATAGATTTGTCTATTGTTGGAGTTTGGTTTGTTAGATAAGAGATTTGTGTGGAGGTGATGTGGCAGGTGGATAGACCTCTTCAATTGCTATTGTCCTAAGTGTTGTATTCTTTTAAAATAGTTCATTTTCATATAATTTAATGTTCATTTGCAAAATAAGCTAATATAATTTTGTTGTTTATTAGATTTTGTGGATTTGCATTTTTGTTCATTTAGTAAATAAGTGATGTCCATTTAGAATACTCTTAATCCATAACATGTATAAGCACCTTTTAATGGGAAATAAATAATCAAGTGTTCGTAATTCATGACATTGGATGTTCATTTTATTCGATATGATGTTCATGTTCATATTAAATTAATTGTTCACTCTCATTTACCTCATCAATGTAATAGGATTTCATTTTCATATTCTTGTTGTCGGATGTATATTCTCAATTTTCAAATGTTCATTTTATTGTTATAGGATGTTTGTCCTTATAAAATTAAGGGTTTATTTTCAATTAAAATGGATTTTGTGTTTGCTCATTTATAAAGAATGTCAAATTCTAAATTAACATTGACAAATTGAAGCTGAAAATAAAAATTGGAAAAACACAATTAGAAAAAGTTCACGAAACATCAAAGGTATACCATATTATGTTAATATGCTCTTCCTCGATCTTAATAATTACAAAATGTTCATATATATATTAAATGGATTGTTCATACTTTTATATGTAATGTTCATTAATAATATATAATGTTAATAGGTACAATGTAAAGACCTGAGTATTCTGAACACGTTGAAAATAAAGGTAGCATCAAAAGATAAATTAAAAGAATACTGAAGAAATACTACATTGCCTGAAAAGGAACCTGTTCAAAAAAAGGCAGTCAAAGAGAGGGCATCTCTTGAAGCTAAAAAGAAATTAAGGTTGAAGGAGAAGCAATAACTTTCTAAACAAAATAATGTAGAGCAAGCAAATGAAACTGCTCAACCAAAGTTGCTAAATAGATTATCTTTATTTGTTGCAATGTTATTAGTTTCAATTTTTTTTAATAATTATTTAGAAAATTAGATAAATACCACCTAGTATTGTTGTCGTTTTAGTAATAACCACCAACAATTATTTTTTTTATTTTACCACCAACAATTCTTTAAAACATCAAATTTTACCACTTCTTTACCTATCCCTTAAAGCGTGACGTCATCATCTTCAATTTCCCTCCTTTTCCATCTCTTCTTTCGTTTCTCACTCTTTTGTTCTTCTCTCTTTTTCTCTTTCTCTTCTTTAAACTTCATTATTACCCCAAACGATAGATTCTTCATTGCTCTCTCTCTCTATCCTCTTTCCTTCTCAAAATTGAGTCTTCATTGATGTCGTCTGACTAAATTGCAACCTTAATTGTTCCTAATTAGCAGTAATTCACAAAATATGAATCAATTTTGCAACAAAATATTACCACAATTAAATCCCCAATTGATTTCATAAACCTTAATTTCAATTCAAAAACCCCTAAATTGATTTCATAAACCTTAATTACACATACCTTTCTCCTTGGTTGCATTATTTGTTGTTTGGATGGAAGAACAATGACGAATGAAAATCCTAATTTGACTAACGCCTAAGTGATTGAATTTTTTTTCCAAAATTAGATAGTTTTTGAAGAAGAGAGAAGAACAGAGGAGTGAGAATCGAGAGAAGAGAGGGAAAATGAGGGAAATAGAAGAGTGGGGAGGTTGGTTGGGCCCACCATGACATCACAATAGGATGGGTAAAAAGGTGGTAAAATTTGATGTTTTGAAGAATTGTTGGTGGTAAAATGAAAAAAAAAAATAACTGTTGGTAATTATTATTAAGGAAAAATAACATAAATAATCCCAACTATTAACCACCTTCTCATTTTAATCCCAACAACAGTTTAACTCAAGATAATCCTAACTATTAACTAACCCTTCTCACATTAGTCTCCTTGTTTGGATAACTTATTAAACCGGTTAAAAACATGATATGTCACTTTAAGATTGATTTGCTTTTAAAATAATAACCTTCTTCCCTAACCTCTCTCCCTTCCCTATATTCTTGGATCCTGCTTTCCATAGTCCATAGTATACTCTACAAAATTGCCTCTACCCCAACGAAAATCGTTCATCTCTTTGAGTTAACAGCAAAACACTAATCCTTCAAATAAAAAAAAAAAAAAAAAGTGGAGCTGCAGAGTTGGACATAGCAACGTCACGGTGAAGTTGCCATTAAAGGTTAGACGGAGAAAAAAGAATCGGACCCTCTTTGATTTTCTTTTTGGTCAAATTAGGCTAGGAAATGAACAAAAATTATATTCTTTTGCTCCCAGTATCACAATTTAGGAGTTGTTAAAACCTAAATTTATCCTTAAATTCAAATCAAAATTGCAAAAAAAATAATCTGAAACTCGAGAATTGCACCTTCACAACTTAAATGGTAGAACAATTTTACACTTTTGGAGTTAAAATTTAGCAGACTTTCAATTTTGGAGAAGCATAGGAGAAACAAGGATTAAGTTGCAGACTTCGGTTGCTTTTGATCTTCAATAAATTACATAAAAATTTGGAATATTATAGTTTTGTTAGTAGTTGTGCAATAAAGCAGATGTTTTCCTTTGATTTTAGAAGTGAACATCCAAAGACCAAAGCAGAAATGAAGTACGGAGTAGTATGCAAGAGAAGGTGTTGGTTGAATGGCTGGGGCAGCCGTTGAGGTGGTATGGCAGAATGTCTGTGCTAAGGACAAAGGTTATGGAAATGGTGGAGGGAGAAAGTAAGGGTGAAATGTTAAAAAAAAAAAAAAAAAGGGATAAAAATGTTAACCAATATTATAAGTAACCGGTAAAAGAGACTATCTTAAGAAGAAGCACCCAATAATTGGGATTATTGTAGGTTAAATAATAGTTGAGATTATTTTGAGAAGGACGTTAATAGTTTGGATTATTCTTGTTAATTTTTCCTATTATTAAAACGACAACAATACTAAGTGGTAATTATCAAATTTTCCTAAATATTTATTCTTATTTTGAGTTTCTTTTCAATTTAAAAAACTGTTCATTGCTATTAATAAAATGTTCATTTTAATTTTCGGATATATATATTTTTAGTTTCAATAATGTTTCTTTCATAATATGTTCAATCATAAAATATTCAATTTTTTTTTATTATTAATTTTTTTTAATATATTGATCGTTCATTTTTCAAAGCTAGTGGGAAGACTAGTCAAAAATTTGCGTAAGCCTAATAAAGTGTGCGTGACCCAAATACAATGGCTAAATTTAAGTTGTACAACAATCTATAGATTAATGGTTTAAACTACAGTAGTAGTCCAAAAGAAAAGGCCCAGGTCCACATATCAATTAAAAACCTTACTCATTCAGTCACTCTGCTCTACTATTTGCTGAAATTGCAGGCAGCAGCCTAATCATAAACCCTAGCAATTTCTCTGGTACAATCTCTTTCTCTCTCCTCATCTCCCCTATTTCATCGACATATGCTGAATTAATTTTATAAATCTTGTTTAACTTTGGTAAATTATCTTTGTATTATTGTTATCAGGTTCTCAAATTTGGCCCCGTCTTAGCTTTAATCATGAGGTAATTCTTATCTTTCGCATTTCTGATTTCTCTGATTTTCAATTATTTTCTTTGTTGGGTGTTTTTCATCTGTTTTTGATTCATGGGTATTATAATTTTTGAATTATAACTTGATTTAATGGGATTATTCACGTTGTTTGAAATTTGGGAAATGGGGTTTGATTTATTTTTTTCTCAATAAAGTTGTTGATTTGTGCTGCTAGTTTTTTTTTATTTTTGAGGTAGAAATGAAAATTTTGATGTGGGTATTGTTTGTTGGGCTCAAATATTGTTGTGTGAATCGATATGAAGGTGTTTTGGGTATCTAGGAAATATTAATAGCTCTGTAATGTGAATTTGATTGTGACTTAAAGACATGGATTTGCAATGTGCTAAGACCTGAACTTGGTTGTTAATCTAGTGTCTTTGGGTAGAAATAGATTGAGCTAGTTTTTCCCTTACTTTTAATATAGTCAACATCATGGTATAATCGAAATATTGAGCGGTCGAATTTAGCGAGGTTTGATAACGGAATCCAATGTGCTTTATTGTTTGGAACATAGGTACCGAATTACCGATGTAGTATATACTAAATAGCATGATAATTTTTATGGGTTGCCACACTTTCTAGTTATATATTTAATGCTTTTTGAAAGATTTTATATTGTATATATGTTTTTCATTGTTGTAGTAAGCTTCAGAGTGAAGCGGTGAGGGAAGCTATATCTGGTATTGCAAATGATGCCAAGGAGAAGAATCGCAAGTTCACTGAGACAGTTGAGCTCCAGATTGGGCTGAAGAATTATGACCCACAAAAGGATAAGCGTTTCAGTGGCTCCGTTAAGTTGCCACACATCCCTCGTCCCAAGATGAAGGTTTGCATGCTTGGAGACGCACAACACGTGGAAGAGGTATATAATCTGTTCTTGTAGATTTCTCCTTGGTCATCAAAGCAAATTATTATATAATCAAGACTTTGTGTGAGAAATTTTAACAATTGCTGGTATGCTTGTTATTCGTCAGCCCTGATATATTACACGGACATGTCTCAATAAGTTACGTATGGATTATTATTATATAGTTTTGAAGTCCTTGATCTGTGTAGCTGTAGCCTTGTAAGTTGTTGATTACCCTAGATAATATGATATGCTTGGTGAGTGGTGACGCCACTGTAGCTGTACAAAGTTACAACTTCATGCTTGGTTGCTGTATTCTCTTCTTCCCAGCAGTAATGCAAGTTTGTTGTGATTGCAGGCTGAGAGGATAGGTTTGGAATGGATGGATGTTGAAGCGTTGAAGAAGCTCAACAAGAACAAGAAATTGGTTAAGAAGCTTGCAAAGAAGTACCATGCTTTCCTTGCTTCTGAAGCAGTCATTAAGCAGATTCCGCGTTTGCTTGGTCCCGGTCTTAATAAGGCTGGTAAGTCTATATGGTGATCTGATTATTGATGTATGCTTGTAGGATCATATGTTGACTATATGACTTAGAACTTGTGCTATGAGTTTGGTCTGCTCTCCTAAAGAACTAGCCAAGTAGCCACGGCACAGGCTGCCTTCATATAGCATGCACAATCTTTTAGATCCTGATGATCATGTGTGCCTTTAGCAGTGAGCAATACTCTTCTTTTCTTAATTCTTTTACTAATGGGTATCATTTGGGTTGCCTTTTCAGGTAAGTTCCCTACACTTGTCACCCATCAGGAACCCCTGGAGAACAAAGTGAACGAGATCAAGGCAACCGTCAAGTTTCAGCTTAAGAAAGTTCTCTGCATGGGAGTTGCTGTTGGTAACCTTAGTATGGAAGAGAAGCAGATTTTCCAAAACGTTCAAATGAGTGTCAACTTTCTTGTTTCATTGCTGAAGAAGAATTGGCAAAATGTGGGTCTTTTATGCCTATGTTTTTGTGAAACTGTTGTATATGGTCATTTGTTGTTCATCTTCTCTGCTGTATAACAATTGCATTGCAATGCGAGAGTGTGCATTGTTTGAATCCTACCCCGAGTGACTTACTGGTATTGTTTATGTTTTGGCAGGTCCGGTGCCTATACTTGAAGAGTACCATGGGCAAGCCATACCGCATCTTCTGAAACAGCCCCTTTTACCGTTGGTTGAATGGCGTAGGAGTTGGAAGTTTTGTTTATTGCCTTTTTGTTATTTTCTTCATTGTTCATTTAAACCCTGTTCCTTGTGTGAGTTGATATGTTATTCCTCAGGAAGAATTTTGAAGATACATGTTTATTGTATTGTTAGTCTTTTTACACATGTATGTTTGCAAAAAAATTATATTGGTCTACTAGTCTTTGATGGCTATATTGGCTCAGTATTTCAGTAATAGGAGGATCCAATAATGACTACTTCTAGGGAGGTATATTGAAGCTAAGCTCCTCTGAAGTCGGCAATAGTTTATGGAGGAATTTTGCTAAGTATTATTTAGTTGGGAATACTAAAGATAATTTCAAGTGTAGGATCCTGTTAATTAGGTCATATCCTTTCATATCTGGGTTCACCTACTGCTGGGTAGTATTTGTAGCAGGATTGAAAGATGGGTTTAGGGCACATTGTACAATAACTCTTGTGATGGAAGTTCGTAACTAACAGATTGATGATACTGAGGAACCTAGCAGGATTGAACTTTGATGGTTACTTTGTTCACTTTAGAATAGACGCGAAACCAGTCTTTTGTTTTTAATCATGCCTGTGTATTTTGTACAGCCTGTACCCTCATGTCAACTAGAAGTGATGAGAGAGTGACTACTGCTACGTAGGTGCAGGCCAATGGTTTGGTTCAGGGGCTGATGTGGTTGTGGAGAGCAGAGCATGGTTTGGTTCAGGCCGGGGCCAACGCCAGAGTTCTCTAGGATCTTTGGCTCTCTATGATTTCTTGTTTTATTTTAGTCTTTATCTTTTTTGTTGTGTTTTTTGCCCGAAGCAGTAAGCCCCTATCTGAGTAATTGTAGCCTTGTAGGGGCAGTGAGATATGGATCCGGAAACGCAAGTGAGGGAATATAAGTACTACATAACTATAGATTTAGGGCAAACACACACAAAAAAAAAAAATAAAAAAAAATAAATAATAATAATAATTTAACACTCCCTTAATTTTATGATTGAAGTACTGCCGAAATGTGTTATTATAGCTCTGTACAAGTAATTATAGTTTGTAAATAAGTTTAAGATGTTTGCATTTCTTAAAATCATTCAAAGATCAAAATTTTATTTGGCATTTGCCAGAAAATTGAAATTACAAAGACAACAAATCACTCAAATACTCTATTATATGAAGAATATGAACTCTAATATGAGGCAATCCAAATTGAGTAACTGATGTCCCATTGTCTATTTGTAAAAGTTTTCTCATAAAAAAAAGCGTATAATAATAAAATAAATTCAAAGGGTGAAGGAGAGGAGGACATGTGACGTATATAATTTGTGTTTTTATATAATAGGTATAGATTTTTATAGCTTAATCCACCTGTTTATCTTTTCTAACCGCTTCATATAATGTGTCAAGAAAATGTGGTGTAATTTCCAAATACCACAAAAAGAAATCACTTTAATTTAAAATACTCAATTATTACTCCGTATTTTGTCAAGAGAACCTTCACATTTTGGAATACAAGGTTTCTACCTAGGAGTCTAGATGGCTTAAAATAAAGACAAGGATGTCCAAAAATGTATCTAGTGGTCTTTTGAACAAAGAAAAATGACATAACATCTCAAATGATTTATATAATTTAAAATACACTGCTGCCCTAATAATTGTTTCGTACACCCGGGTGTACCATGCGCATGGTACACCCGGAAGAACATTACCCTATGAATAAAAGAACATGGTCTATAAAAGAACATTCTATACGTTTTAAGAGTACGCGCATTTAATAGGGGATGGACAGTTAATGGGCTTTTGAAAATTTCGGGGTCCACTTTAATTGAAGTAATTGAGTAAACGTTTACTTTTTCTCTCTCCTAAAATTTACTCTGCAAAAAAAAAGTGAAAAGTAGTTCATCTTCTCCATCTTCCTCCTTTCAAAGAGACCCTATTTTACTCAAAAATCGAATCATCTTCAGAAATTAATAAAGTTTTTTTGCAATTATGAAGGCCAAAAACGATGCGTAAGTGCGAATTTCTCATTCAATTCTATAATTTTGTACTTTTAATTGTGTTTAAAAAGATAATTGTAAATCCAAAAGTTAAGAAGTTCTATGCATGTTTATTTGATTTATTTTTTAATTTTTTAAATTTTAGTGAGCAAAAAGTGGTAAATGAGGAAGATATTCCGTTGAAAGCAGCTTCCAAAAATATTAAAGGAAAAAAAAGCAAAAAGAAAGAAGAAGGTGAAGATGTTGCCCCAATTGTGGACCCTCATATCTTGAAATCCATAGAGAGTTTGGCAAAAACAAAGTAAGTGGAGTACAAAATATCCTTTTTTCACTTTATTTGACATCTCAAGTTGTTAGTGTACTAAAAAATTTGTAAACCTGTGTGGTAGGGTCTCTGTTATTATTTATGAGCTAATTTGGAATTTTGAGTTTAGAATGCAATTAAAAATGGTAGATCTGTTTAGTAGGAAATGATTCAATGATTAATTAATTGTTTCTGATAATGTTCTTTTTGATGTAATACGACGTTCTTTTTCAAATTTGTATTATGTTCTTTTATTTAAAGTTAATGTTCTTTTATTTAAAGTTAATGAATCTGATAATCTTCTTTTTGATGTAATACGATGTTATTCTATTGGATTATTGCTACTGGTTTATCTACTTGGAAATTTGGCTTACTATTGAATTGTGATATTGGCAATTTCAGCGTGTCCGTTAATTATTTATTATTTACATCCTTCATTATCTTTAGCATAAAAATCTATACATTCATACGTCCTCATATGTAGCACCAGAAATAATCTCTCACATTTGGAAATGGGAATGTGGGTTAAAGGCTGACAATGTAAGATATGTTCTTTTATACTTGCATAATGTTCTTTTAAATATGTTAAATGTTCTTTTAAATATGTATAATGTTCTTTTTATTAGATCTAATGTTTCTTGTTGCTGATGTGATTTTCTTTTTTGTTTTATAGTTTGATGCGCTGAAGAAGCTAAGGATATATTCCAGCAATGAAATCCTTACAAGTGCAGTAAACAAGAACAAATTTGAAGTGAATGACAATGCTGAAGTATGGTTTGATTACAAGTTCTGAACAATTTTTAGACAATACTAATGTTTTATTTTGAAAAAGTAACTTGTACTTTTTATTTTGAACAATCATGTACTTGTTACTTTGTAACATATGTAGATTTTGAATTATATGACCTTTCAACATATATAGATATAATTTAGTTTTGTTATTAAATTTATGTTATTGAAATAAAAAAAGCAATCAATTTAAATAATATATAAAATGTAATATTCAAAGTAATGATATTAATTCCAAAAAATCTATTACAATTATAGTAATCCAAGTTTAGAACAAATTAAATTCAATGAATTTTTTTTAAAAGGGGTGACAATTACTCCAAAATAATCATCAGGCTCGAAATACTCTATTGAACCACCATATTCAGACGAATGTGCAATAATATTTCCCAAAGGTACAATCAATGTTTCCTAAAAACAAAAATAGGAATTAAAAGAACATCAGACATAGAGTAAAGGAACATTAAGTAATTAAAAAGAACATTAATGTAGCTAAAATGAACATCAAGAATTTATAAAAGAACATTAGGTACAATGCAATAGTATAAATCTTTCTTGCATGCTCCAATAACCCAATATCTGCCCAAACTAAATGACGATTACCAGTGATACTATTATAGTCATGATTGCCTTCTTTACCCTTCCACTAATCAACAACCTCAATGAAAGAGTTATAAAAATCACAAAGACCGAGTAATATGAAGCATACGTGAAACAAACTTGTTTGTTGTTTCACTCCTTTGAGAAGACAAAATACCTCCACTAAAGTAGTCCTTAGAATGCGCAGGGCACCACATCTCTCTAATATTATAAAGATTCATAATCCATTTGTTGTCTTGGCATTGAAGTTTGTCCAGCATGCTGAAAATGAAAAAGTACATAATGTCAATAAAAAGAACATACTGTTACTTTGCAAAGAACATATAAAAAAATAAAAGAACATTATAAATTAAAACAATTGTTAACAAAAATGAAATATTTTAAAAAAAGAATTTTACATCTTTATAGAAAGACATTAGTTCATAATTATATAAACATTCAATTCATTAAAAAGGAACAAAATTTAGAAATTAAGAGAACATCAGTACATTAAAAAAAGAACATAATGTAAAACGTAAAAGAACATCAATATATAAAAAAAAAAAATAATGATATAGAAATATAATAATACCTTGACCAATAATGTTCAAACTCTGCAATTGTATCAGTATACTTCAGCACAATATCAAAAAGGACATACAATCAAATGAAAAGAACATGATCTAATATAAAAAAAAACATGATCTGAAATAGAAAGAACATGATATGTAAAAAATCATAAGATCAATATAAAACAATAAAGAACATTAGTTTTTATTAAATGAACATACGACGTTAACAAAAGAACATATAGTACATACAATATATACATTGATTACAATGCAAATAAAAATTACAACAAGCATAACAACAAATCAAAACGAAGTTCATCATCAACATTATTAGACATAAATCAAACAATTAAAAGATAAAAATCACAAATAAATAGAAAATTATTCTTCAATTAATTATAATTTATCAAAATAGAATGTAAAATAAAATAAAATTAAACAATTAAAATATAAATATCACAATAATCAGCAGCATTACCTTCATCGCTGTTCACGAAGACTTCAGATTCTTCTCTGTCATCGTCATTATCAATGCCATCATTCTCTTTAGTAAATTCATTGACAAATCTTGCATCAGAATCATGTCGAAATTCAGATTGATAAGACATGAAAATTGTTGAAAATCTCTCGGATTCGATCTTTTTAATCAATTTTGTAATTGCTCTGTATTTTCTCTCTCTCTAAAAAATTGAACAGAATATATTTCTCTCTCTAAAATTAGGGGAAGAATTTTGATTCTGGAAGTTTTATAAAAGGAAGGATCAAATTGATTGCATATTTATAAGAATGGAAAGGTTTGAAAATTTGGAGGGAACGTTTTCAATTTTTTTTTTTTTTTTTTAATATCAAAAGGGGAAGATGGAGAGAGATATGAGGGAGGTGTACCATGCACATGGTACACCTCCCTCTACCATACTATTTTTACTGCTGCCCCCCTTAACCTACAATGCACCAACTAACCAACA